TAGGGCCAAAGGCCCAAGGGCCCCAAAGTTCAGAGCTGGCGGTGGGGCCGCGGACTGGGGTGGGGGAAGTGATGCAGTACCTAGAGACGTGGGTCGAAGGTACAGGGGTGGGTCCCAGTTCGAATCCACTTCCTCTGTCCACTGCGTCTGCGCAGCACCCAACTTTGCCATTCCCGTAGTTCAGAGCTGGCAGCCGGGTCGCAGACTGGGGCGGGGGAAAGCTATGGAGTACCTGGAGACCTCATGCTTGCTTATAAGGAGCACTCTGGCTCTTAAGAACTTTCTCCAAGACACTTTTTAAAAAATTATTAAGTTTTATTAATTTTAATGAACATTTACAGAGATTTTGGGTTTTCATTCATTCATTGTTGCACTGTTTTTTCTACCCTCCTCCCTAGTTTGTTCCAAGACATTTCTATTCTTTTTCTTTTTGTCAGTCTGTGGGATATTTTGTACTCTTCACTACTACCACAACTCATAAAGACATCCATTCTTCTTCTGTAATTCACAGCAAGTGATTGAGAAGACCATGGCCTGAACCAGACACACGTTAGTCTTTAAACTGGTGTCTTAGTCCTTAACTGTATACTTTCTTAGTACTTGTTTTATATGCATTAATTTATGTCCAAATTAGGGAACTCAGGTGCTGTGATCCATAGGCCATTGTGCTCTTAACCCAATAGTAGCACCTCTGACTGTATAAATCTTCTTGTAGCCCTACAGGAAAAAACATGCATAATGTCTTGTGATTAACAGCCTCAGGAAGCCCTTTGGTTGGTCAGTTACACACTGGTTCCAACTCATCTTCAATGAGTTTCAGTTTTATATTAATGATTATAAAATTTTTTTTAATTTTGTGAGCCAGATAAACTTTTTGAATCCCTTTTTAAATGCTTTGGTCTTTGAACAATACACATTTTTAATTTTACTAGAATTACTGTAGGTACACCAAAAAAAAGATACTTCTAATCCAAATTACTTCTATATTTAACCTCTATTTGTATGTTAGTGGTAAGTCTGATTAACATGCTTTTTTTTATTACTGCTGTTACTAGGGTGATTATGTTCTGATACTCTGCCGTTATATGGTCATTGTATCACAAGTTGCCCAGATAACACCAAAGAAAACATTTATTTTTTTTTCTTTATTTTATTAATTTTCATAAACATTTACAGAGATTTTGGGTTTCCATTCATTCCTTGTTGCACTATTCTCTCTACCCTCCTCCCAGTTTGTTCTTGTCCAAATGCCACAGAGCTTGTCAAAGCCAGTTCTGATTAATCTTCTTTGTCAGTGTGTCCTTTGCCATTCCCTGTCACTCCTCCCTGAGAGAGACTTCACCCTGAGTCATAAGGAAAAGGGGATGGCGTATTCTCTTAGCTACTTCCTGCTGAAAAGGGACGCTGTGGGTTTCAGGGTGAAGATCTTCTCTCACTACTCTAAAGGGCCCCTTTGGCAGTAGGAAACACATAGACTATTATGGAGATTGATTTTGGAATTCAGATGCACTCTTATTGATTGTGCTTGGCCGTACATGTTCATATCCTTGAAGATGTATCATGGGGGTGTTGCAACCTAGAAGACACAAATTTGACTAACAAGTTATAAGTACATGAGTCCAAAAATTATGGAAAAGTAAAAGAAAAGATTCTTTCATTGTTTTACAAACCCTCCTCCAGGTCCCCTCTACCATGTAGCCCTCGCTCTAGTCTCCTGTGATGACAGAAATACCTAGTTATATATCTCTTTTAAACAGTTTTCTCCCTCCTCTGTTTCAGTGCAGTATACATTATTGAACCCATCTTACTCAGTCTCTCCCCAACAGTGGCATCATGTAATATTTGTCCTTTTGTGACTGGGATATTCAAAGAAAACATTTAAATCTTGATCCTTCAAGGGCCAAAGACTCTTGACATTTTACATGAATTCCAAAGTCCTAGCAGAATACAAGGTCCCTGGGTAGCATAGCAGTTTATTATTGCTGCAGAATGTCAAGGAATAATCTTTAGTATGGATTGAAGCTCAACATCAAGAAGACAAAAACTCTCATTACTGGGTTAATTAATAGCACCATAATAGATGGAGAAGAGATTGAGGTTGTTAACAATTAAAACGTGATCAGCTCCACAGTTAACATTCTGAGCACCAGCAGTCAGGAAATAAAAAAGACAATTTGCACTGGGAAAAATATGCTGTCAAGGACCTCTCCAGAGTACTAACAAGCAACTGTGACAGTCTAGAAACTTAAGGTGCACCTGATCCGGACCATAGTCTTGGTAGTTACTTGCTCTGCATCAGAGCTAGACAGAGACTAAGGATGACAGAGAAGAATTAATGTCTTTAGTTGTGGTGCTGAAGAAGAGTGTTTGAACATAACATAGCCAATCAAGAAAATAAATAGGTCTGTTTTGAAGAGGGTGAAACAAAGTTTCTCCTTGGAAGCTAGGATTTTGAAACTCCACCTCAAATACTTGGGGCATGTGGCCAGGAAGGGCTGGTCCTTGGAAGGATAGAGGAAGTAGTGCAGGAGAGAAAGACCCCAGATTAGATGGATTGATACAGTTACTGGAGCAGTGGCGTTTAGTGTGGTGGAGTTAGTGAGAGTGATTCAGGACAGGGCAGACTTTAGAGCCATTATACTTAGGGTCGTTATGAGTCACAGGTGACTGGACAGCACATAACAACAGCAATGGCTAATCTAATGGTTAAGAGCTCACATCCATCCAGAAGCACTAGAGCAGAAAGGTCTGGGTATCTGCTTCTTTAAAAGATCCATCTGACTATGGTGATAATATCTCTGATCCCAGCTGATATTTCTTGTAGTTCTCTGTTCCAGTCATTTCTGGATACTCTTCAGCAGGATTTTACTAACATGTGATAGTAGTAGTATTGTTTGATAATTCCCACACTCTTTTGTGCCTCCTTTTTTTTTTTTTTGGAATGGAAATGAAAATAGATTTATTTTAGTCAGTTAGCCTGGTAGTTGTCCTCCAAATTTCTTGGCACAGCCTAGTGAGCACATTCATGGTAGCATCTGTTTGTTGAAATATTTTGATTGGTATTCCATCAATTCCTGAGGCTTTATTTTTTGCCAAGTCCTTCAAAGCAGCCTGAACTTCCTCCTTCGTGACGATTGCCTCTTGGTCATACGTTGTTTCTTGAAATTCTTCTGTGTCAGCCAATTCTTTTTGGTACAGTGATTTTGTGTACTCTTTCCATCTTCTTTTAATGCTTCTTGAATCACGCAGTGTTCTACCCGTACCATCCTTAAGTACTGCAACTCACGGCTTGAATTTGTTCTTTAGTTCCTTTAGCTTAAGAAATACTGAGCGAGTATTTTGATTTTCTGACTCCAGCTCCTTGCATATTTCATTATAATACTTTGCCTTGTCTTCCCAAGCTGCAAGACTCCAAGTCTTTTATTCAGCTCCTTAATTTCTTCCCTTTGCTTTGGTTTCTCAGTGTTGTTGTGCAATATTCAGATTCTCTTCTGACATCCATTTTGGTCTTTTCTTCTTCCTCCTTCTTTGTAAAGACCTTTCACATTCTTCATGGATGATATTCTTGAAATCTTCCCACAGCTCATCTGGTCTTCATTCATTATTGTTCAAGGCCTCAAACTTATTCTTGAGTTGTTTTTTTTTAAAGTTCAGGGGGGATAGACTCAAGATCAGATTTTTATTCCTGTGGATATGATTTTATCTTCTTTAGCTTTACTTTGGTCTTGGCATGTGAGTAGTTTGATGGTTTGTTCCACAGTCAGAACCTTGCCTAGTTTTCATTGATTAAAGTCAGGAAAATTCCAGGGGTTAATTGGTTCTCTTCTGTAACACGTCGTATAGTCATGAGTCGGCATCATCAGTTCGATTACAGTGAATTTGATTTTTGTTTATGGCAGAATATTGGTATACCCCAACACTCTATTTTTTAGTTTATGAATACCGTGGTTTAAACATTTCCCCACATTTTTTTAGAAAGTTTTACTAAGAATTTGAAATATCAGAGTGTGTTTACAATGTAATTACTCCTTGACTTACTTTTCTTCATTATTGGATATAGCTTGTCTCTTCTTTGCCTTCCTTTTTTAAAAAAAATTTCTATTCTTCTTTTTAAAATATCAGCAGAGAACATCAAACTGTAAGATGACATTGCTTCTCTAAACACCACATTTTAAAATTTATAATCAATGAAGTTTTTAAATTTCTTTTCATTCTACTATAAGCTTTGAGTTTCCCACCCCCCTTTGTTAATTTTGAAATACTTTATCTTATGTAATAGAAAATATGAAAGCGTTTTGAAAAATTTATTGTTCATAATGACCATCTTAGAGTTCCCTCCAGTTTCTGGGTAATGGGGACAGTTAAGTAAGTTATTATTAGTAACTATTAACTCAGACATTTAAGGTCACCAGAGATACCTTGGAAAAAAAGTGGGGATTATCTACTTATGAAAAATCAACCATTGAAAACTCTATAAAGCACAGTAACTTTTATATGTGTAGGGTCACCATGAAACAATAAATTTGATGACAACCATTTTAGGACATTTCTTGTAATAATTAAAATGCAATTGAAAGGCTCAAGTCCTGGTTCTGCTTTTCTTTTTTTTTTTTTAAGCTGTGGAAATTTAGGCAGTTCATTTAACTTTTACTAAACAGAATAACTGGGAAAGTGTGCGTTATGTACTTCATAGGTTTTCACAAGGATTAAATAATAGTTTGGATTTCTTTTGTAAATGCTATAGCAAAGTACAATAAAACTTACAGCAATATATATTTACAATCCCTTGACCTCTATTATTCATGTTTCATGAGAGAGATGATATTCTTGGACTGTCTTTCAAAATAATTTTTGACAATTGTTCTTTACTTCAGTGGCTACAATGATTTTTTATTTAAACTTTTGAAATTAAAAAGTTATCTGAATTCTAGTAGATTTCTCTTTTTAAATTAATGTGTGTTAAAATAAATTATGTTTTCTGTACTCCCTTTCTGAAACAGCCTGAAGTACTTGAACAACTAAGTGGATTAAAAGAATTTTGGATGGATGGTAATAGACTGACTTTTATTCCAGGGGTATGTATAACAGATGTTAAACTTATGGTCCTCTTTCCTATGCAATTTTTAAAATTTATACATCTAAGTGATTTTTAAGTAGCAATAAAGGAATTTTTATTTAATTATTGTTAAGTGCTGGCCAGTCGAGCATGACTCATAGCAACCCTATGAACAAAAGACCTGAACCCTGTTCTATAACTATCATTGTTTCTCTGAGTTCATAGAGCTTCCAGAGGCATGTTGTTTAGGAAGTAGATGACACTCCTACTTCCAAGCCTCTCTTAATCTGGGAGCTCCACCAAACACTTGTTCACCGTGGGTAACCATTATGGCATTTGACACACCAATGGCACAGTGTTCAAGCATCAAGGCAAACCCAGGTTACCTCAGTACCACAAATTGATAGACCTGTGCTGTATCACTTAGAAGGATGTTCACTACAAACACAATTAATACCAGGTCCAGAATGACTCTTAAATAAGAGGCTTCCAGCTTATAGCTAATTGTTAGTGAAATTCAGCATATCCAATTAGTCCACACTCGACTGTCAACCAAAACAATACAAGGCACCTTCCAGAATTCAACAGCTTGACACATGAGCCTCAAAGCTGGAGACTTAGTCAGGGCCCAACTGACTTTTAAATACAAAGATGTGCCCCTGTGGTACATTTTCACTATAGAATACTATGCAGCACTCAAGAGGAATTATTTCAAAAAATACTATTTTACATGGGAGAGACTAAAGAGCTTTGTGCTCAGTGTACTCAGTCTCATAAGGACAAATACTAATTTAGTGTGCTTGTCTCCACAATCACAACTCTTGGCACCAGCAGCCAAGAAATAAAGAGACTAATTGAAAGTCTGCTGTCAGAGGCCTCTCCAAAGTACTGAAGAGCAATGATGTCAGTCTGGAGACCAAGGTATGCTGATCCAGGCCATAGTCTTTGCAGTTACTGGCTATGCATCAGAAAGCTGGACAATGACTAGGTTTGGTAGAAGAATTGATGCCTTTGATCTGTGGTGCTGGAGAATAGTATTGGATATACTGTGGACTGCTAGGAGAACAAATAGATTCATCCTAGAGAGGGTGAGACCAGGCTGCTCCTTGGAGTCAGGGATTCTGAAGCTTCATTTGTCATAATTTGGACATATTGCAAGGTGGGACCAGTCCTTGTAGAGGGACTTTATGGTTGGAATGATGGAGGGACAACACAAGAGAGGAAGACCCTCAATGAGATGGATTGATTCAGTGATTGGGGTAATGGAGGTAGGTGTGTTAGAGACAGTAAAATTGGCATGGGGTAGAGCAGGGTTTAGGGCTGTTGTATACAGGATTGGGACTTGATGGCACATAACAACAAGAACTAATAATAAGATATGTATGAAAGTCTATTGAGGGAAGAGGGGGAGGAATCACTGGGTCACACAGTTTGCTGGGTAGAGGGAGGGTGTGAAAGAATTAGGAAAGATCCAGTGGGGACCTCAAAAATGGGGCGATAGTGAGCATTGATCAATGGTGATTGGTTTATAAAATGCAGTGTATGATAATGATCATAAGAAACACGAGGAATGTGGGAAACAATATATTCATATATACATACATAAATAAACACACACATATATATACACACACACAAATGGATTGGTCCTGCTTTGCAACAATGTATGAATGAAACACAACGTATGTTAATTTTGTATGCAAACCAATATAAAATATATGTAAAAAGAAAACCAAAATACTCGACTGCTACTATTGTTATTCAGAAGCCCATATTCGGTCCTCTGCTGCCACCTGGCTCCAGACAGCTGATATCATGGGCTTTGGAGACTTCAAGCCTGCTGCTGGCTTCCACATCCTCAGTGATTACCTGGCGACAAGAGTTACACTGAGAGGTACATACCATCACAAGCAGATGTGGTGGTGTTTGAAACCATTTCGAGCCCCCCACCTGCCAAACTATATCATGCTCTATGTTGGTATAAATCACATCAAGTCTTATGAGAAGGAAAGGCCAGCCTGCCAGGAGGGAAGAAAGCTATGGACAAGTATGGCCCTGCTAATATGGAAGACACCACAGGAAGTGGAGCTACAGACAGTAAAGATGACGATGACATTGATGACTTTGGATTTGAGGAGGAGGAGGAAAGTGAGGAAGCAAAGTAGCTAAGAGAAGAATGTCTTGCACAGTATGAATCAAAGACGGCCAAGAAACCTGCACTTGGTGCCAAGTCTTCAATTTTGTTAGACGTGAGACCTTGGGATGATGAAACAGACGTGGCAGAATTGGAAGAGTATTAATAATACTCTTTAAATACTTAAAAAATAAATTATTTCTTAACTATGTACAAATTCTTGATTAAAACCAGAAAAATTTCAAAATAAACTTTGTCTAATTTTGATACTGTGTTATGTGTCCTTGTCAGTCTTATCAGTTGATAGTGTAATTTAATCTATCTTGTCCAAGGATTATTATAATTTTCCCCTACATATTTTCTGTCTGCTCAACTGAAAAATCACACGTGTGGATCTAAAGAAGTAATTTCATTCCCCACATTTGCTTTTTATCTCACAGATGTTGTGTAGATAAGTTCTCAAAGAAAAATGTGTCTTTTATCATTCTGCTGGGTTAAAATTAAGAGGAACTCTTTATTTTTAATGACCGAATATTGTACTCAGGGAATAAACAATTTGCACATCCTCTTTCTCATATTTCCATTTAATTATGAATTATAATTTGGCATTAGACTTATCTCGTAAACCTTTTAGAATTACTTGATGGAATCATTAGCTTTTTCTTTCTCATTTATAGTTTATTGGTAGTTTGAAACAGCTCACATACTTGGATGTTTCTAAAAATAATATTGAAATGGTTGAAGAAGGAATTTCAGCATGTGAAAATCTTCAGGACCTCCTGTTATCAAGCAACTCACTTCAACAGCTGCCTGAAAGCATTGGTTTGTATTGCTTTCAATTTCTTATAATTAGCTTTTACAAAAGTAACATCTGAGAAATGAAGTGTTTGTCTATTCCTTCTTCATTCTAAGCTTCCATATATTATAAAAATATTTTTGTTCTGAGAGTTTTTCGATACTGCTAAGCCACTAACTGATTATATTACTAATGACAGATAACACATTTCTTAAGTCATCTTTTTCATATGTCCATTTAATTATGAATTATAATTTGCTATTCGAAGAGGGGCATAATGCTTTGGATGGATAGTGGAGGGACAGTGAAAGAGGAGGACCCTCAAGCAGATGGATTGGCACTGTGGCTGCAGCAGTAAACTCAAGTATGTCAGAGATTGTGAGGATGGCACAGGATAGAACAAGATTCAGATCTATTGTTCATAGGATTTCTGAGTCATACTTGACTCTCTGGCACTTAACAAAATAGCAACTTAGTTAACTATTTTTTGTTTTTGTGTACTGTAGAGTCGGATTTGACCCTTCGTTGGGTTTTCAGAGGCGTTAAATGCACAGGAGATTTCTCATCCTTCTCCTTTGTAGTAGCTCGTGGTTTCAAATCCTTCAGTATTGCAGCACAGCTTCTTGTCACTAGACCACCAGAGAATTTGTACAATTTGCCTTACTGTTTTGTTGACTTCATTTTTCTTTAGTATAAGTAAATATCATTGTTTAATAACTGTAATAAAATTTATGTTGTGTTTAAGAAGTTAGTTTATACAGACCTTAGTTCTTGATCATACCCCTTATTAAATCATTTGATTGCAGTTCACAGACAAGAAAACAGACTAAATCAACCAGTTCCTATGAGAACTCTTGTAATGGTTATTGAGTATTTGTATGGTTGCTTCTGTCAAGGGAATTTAATTATTTTGATGAAAGGCCCCAAACCCCTTTCTTGAATCCATTAATTCAACACGTTTGTGGCATCTATTCCATTTCTGTGCCATTGTATTGTTTGAAGGAGTTGGGGTTGCAGTAAGGAAAACCCCATATTCTCATAAAGGTTACTAGACAAATGTGGAATGTGCTAAGATGAAATAATTGAGATAAACAATAAGGAATAAAGAGTTGATAGGGTTGAATTGGTCTTTCTTAGATAATGTTGGTCAGGTAAATTCTTTCTGGTCCATGTCAAATGTAATAGGTGCTAATATTGTCTTAGTTTATTGTGCTTCCAGTTCTTAAATTTTTTTATCCTATTTCTTGTCTCAATAGGTTCATTGAAGAATGTAACAACTCTTAAAATAGATGAAAACCAATTAATGTACCTCCCAGATTCTATAGGAGGGTAAGATTTTTAGAAATTGAAAAGCTAGAAGATTTTCTTTCAGTTCAGCATGTTGTATATGTGTGTGTATGTATGCAGTTCATTTAAATAATTACATAAAAACATCCAGGGGAGATTTAATAAATGTTTAAATAAGTTACTGTTATATTCATGAACATATTTATATAAGCAGATCTGTTACTTATAAAGTTTATTATTTATAAATTTTAAGTAGGGAAATTTCCTTGTTGTACCAGCAAGTCAGTATACAATAATATACCGTAATTGACCCTCCAGTCGATTTTCAGAGGCAGTAAATTACACAGAAGGAGATTACCCATCTTCTTGCTGCAGAGCATCTGGTGGATTTGAACCTTGGGCTTTTTGGGTGCAGGACATCTTCTTACCACTAGGCCATCAGAACTCTGTTTGGAGAAGCTAGGTTTATTAAAATCGTGTTTTTATGTTCATATGCTATTAAATTTAGATTTATATATAAAAACCTTTTAAAAGTGCACATTTTATGTTTTTACTTAAAGGTTAACATCAGTAGAAGAACTGGATTGTAGTTTCAATGAAGTTGAAGCTTTGCCTTCATCTATTGGGCAGCTTAATAATATGAGAACTTTTGCTGCAGATCATAATTATTTACAACAGCTACCACCAGAGGTACTGTATTTTAAATTTCTTTTAGTTTTGTAACTTTTCATCTTTTTCTAGTTAACTTTGTTACAGCTATCTTAAGTTTTGGGTTTTTTTAGAATACAGTATTTTAGTCTGTGGTAATAATTTATTAAATTTTGTCTCTATGTTCTTGGTATTTTAGCCATTTCATGTAAGTTGAGTTATACAGTATTTTTCCTTTTTGAGTTTGGACTTATTTGACACAATATCATGTTTTCAAAGTGCATTTGTATCATATTTTGTGCATGTTAGAATTTGCTTTCTCTTTCAACACTGTAATATTGTATTACCATTTGTTTTATCCAGTAATCTTCCTGGATTATTTCTATCATTTGGTTATTGTGAATAATAACACTGTAAACATCAGTGTACAAATACTTGATTCTTAAATTTTTATTTCAGATTGGAAGTTGGAAAAACATAACCGTGCTATTTCTTCATTCTAATAAACTTGAGACACTTCCAGAAGAAATGGGTGACATGCAGAAATTAAAAGTCATTAATTTAAGTGATAATAGGTTTGTAATACTTAGTTCATCAGTTTTATTGAATATTTAAAGTTTCACAGTTAGTGATAGTGAATTTAATGCTCGTTTTTCTTTATCACATATTTTTTTTATTTTGAACAATATTTTCATCTGAAAGATGTTAATTATTACGCTATGTTAGCTGTGCTGTTCATTTTTATTTAGTTTCACCTATCCAGATTTTATTCTCTCTACAGTAACCATTCTTAGGTCATCATTTCATTAATTTTGAACAAAATAGCTTTTTATTTAAGGCTTATATTTCCTGAGATGAGGTATGGTTAGATACTTAGTCTCATAGTATAGGTCACAAAGTCACAGTATAGTGCAAAGAAATTACTAGGATTACTAAATTAGAACAGTTGTGAAGTTAAACAGAATGTACTTTTTCTATTTGTAAAGGTAATCATGATCGTGAGGAGTAGCGGGAAAGCATTTCTAGAGCATTTTGCATTTTACTTTCATGATCTTTGTATAGTTTTAAAAACAGCTCAATGTAATGGCCATCCCATTACATTGTGGAGAATATTAAGATAACCTAGTTAAGATGACTTACACATAATTTAAATTTAGATATCTGACTGATGCAGTATTCTGGCTTCCATTTTATTTAAAAGAAATCGTTGTTGGTTTGGGTTTTTTTTCCTTCTTTAAGTTAATATTTTATCTTTTGGTTCTATTTTATATTCCAAGACTATAGTTCTGAGTGCTAGCAGATTGAAAGACAGGCATAGAAGAATAAATTAGGTATTTGATAGCAGGATTAAAATACTTTAGTATTTTTAAAAGTATTTATAGTATTTTAGTTTACATATTATTAGAACAGTCTTCTTGTGTATGAAGGCACAGACTAAGAACTATATAAAGCAGTGCTTCTTAAAAATTTTTTTTAGTATATACAAATACAAATAAATAATTAGAGCAGTTTGTTGATACATTGCTTAATATTCTAAAATTTTGCTTTATGACAGGTAAAACTTTTTTGACAGAGATTTTTAAATAGAAGTAATTAGATTATTCATTTTCTTGCCTACTGAATTGATTCAGTGGGACAATTACTTTTTAAAACAAAACCTTATAAAATGTAATTCTAATTTATTTATTTATTTATTTAGCTTTCACTTTTCTTTACATTTTTTTTCCACTACAGATTGAAGAACTTGCCCTTTAGCTTTACAAAGTTACAGCAGTTGACTGCTATGTGGCTCTCTGATAATCAGGTAGGCATTTTACTTTTTGTAATTGACTAGAATACCAATTTTATGATATAATTATGCATTCTGACTTACATAGAACTGTTACTTATATGTTGTAATTAAGTGCCATTAAGTCAGTTATGACTCTTAGCGATCCTGTGTACAACAGATCGGAACTTTGGTCTGTCCAGAGCTCCGTCATGATCTTTCTCATGCTCGAGCCTGTTGTAGTAGTCATTATGTCAGTTCATCTTGTTGGAGGTTTACTTTCTTTAGCTGATGAGCTACACCTTTCTCAACCTAATGTCTTTCTCCAAGAACTGACCCCTCCTTAAAATATGCCTGAAGTATGTGAGATGAAGCTTTGCCATCCTTGCTTCAAAAGTGCCTTCTAGTTGCACTTTCACTAAGACACATGTTCCTTTGACAGTCCATGCTAACAGTATTGCTTAGTTAGGAAGGACCTGGCATAATCTTGAGGGACAATCATAATTTTCCTTACCTAGTTATAAAACTCAACGGTGTTCATATGAGGGCAAAGTGAGGCCAAATTGACTCCTATAACCAGTCTCTAGAAGTCCAGTTCTCCATCTGTGAAAATGTAGTGCCATTAATTAGGATGGATGGCTTGAAAATAGTGTAGAGGAAAAGAATTAAGTAAAGACATGGAAATCTTTTTAGTGTATGAGGTTACGTATGACTTTAGAGTCATAATTCACGAATGTGGTAATGAAAAAGTGATTGAGGAGGTAGAAAGGAAATGACCTAGGGACAGAGGGCGGGGAGGGTGGGGGGACCACCAAAGAAAGAGAGATATGATTGAAAGTGGAATTCAGTATTTCTTAGCTAAATAAAAAAAAAATACAAAAACATTGATGGCTTTGAGTTGTGATGTTGGAGAAGAGTCCCATAGACTGCTGGAAGATTAAACAGATAATATCTTGAAGAAAGTACAACCAGAGTACTCCTTAGAGGCAAGGCGAAGCTTCATCTCACATACTTTGGGCATTTTGCTAGGAGACTGACTATTCTTTGGAAAGAGAAATTATACTTGGGAAAATGGAAGGTCAGCAAAAAAAGAGAAAGACTCTTAATGAGATGGATTGACACAGTGACTACAGCAGTGGGTTCCAGTGTGTCAGAGATGATGAGGATAGCACAGGATAGGACAGAGTTCAGATCTTTTGTACATGTAGTTGCTGTGAGTTGTACTCAGCTTGATGGCAAATAACCAGAACAAGCCATGACAATCTTGGGAAGTGGAGGGTCAGACAAAAAGATGACTTTCAACCAAATGAATCGACACGGTAACTTTATTAATGGACTCAAGTACAGCAGAGATCATGAAGATGGTCAAGAATAGGGACAAGGTTCAGATCTGTTGCTTGTAGAATCACTGAGTTGTAATTGACTTGATAGAACCTAACAACAATTTGTGTATCCACACTGAAGGCTGTATTCTTTGAGTCTCCTCAGTGTTTCTAGCCCCCCTCAGTATTAGCCATCAAGAGTGTGTCATTTGTAACCAGGCTTTCTCTGGTTACTTAAGAGACTGATGGAATTCCCAAGATTATGACCCTTAGTCACTACTCTCCAAACACTAAAGAACCAAAGATCTGAACTCCCACTGTAGCTCAACTTTCAGCTAAACAAGACCAGCCTATAAAGGGAACAGTAAGACCAGGGTGGGACTCTTACCCCTTGAAGCAGTTAACATATAAATAAAAAGGGCAGCCTTTTCACCAGGGTTAAAGAAGATGGGAAAAGATAGAAAAGAAAGACTAATGGAAATGGGAAACATCAGGGAGGTGTCCAAAGAAAGCAGTTACATTGTAGGGATTGCACTAAGTGTCATGAAACAAAATGTATAGGAGTTGTTGAATGGAATACTAGGTAAATATATTGGCAAAAGAGTTACATTAAAAACTAAAATGATCCTACACAGTAACTCATTAGCACAAAAAGTCTGGGAGGAATAAAACAACTAAGTTTTCCGCTTCTGCCACTGAGTTGTTTGTCTTAACCATTAATGGAAATAGGAAACAAGAGAAAGAACATTGTCCAAATGTTTCTTCCAAAATCACCTTTCCAGGGAGGAATATTAGAGTGGGCATAATATAAAATGAAAAGACATATTTCTATGATAAGTCATTATTTACCATGAGTATTAAGTATGTTGTTGTTATGAAACCTCATGTGAGACCTGACTCATAGCTGACCTACCAAGGGGCTTTCAGAGGCAGTAAATTGCACAGGGGTTTGCCCATCTTTCTCCCCAAGAGCAGATGATGAATTGAAACGGTGTAACTTTGGCTTGGCAACACAGCTCCCTACCACTAAACCACTAGAGCTCTGGATAGCCATAATGTATTTTTCAGTTGTATTGATAGTTCAATTACAGTTGCAATACATTGTGACTTTGCTTTAAATTGAAAGCATAATTTGTTCAGAGTTTTAAAAAAATTTCAAACAAAAATCGGAAGGTGTTATAGATGTCTAAGTTTGTCTTTATTATAGTTTACAAATTAGTATTTTGTAGAACAAATGATGAATACTCGTGAGAAATTTCTAAGTATACATTTCGTCATTGTAGTTGTTTTTAGTTACATACAACTAAAAAAAAACTAAAAACAACAACTACAATGCCTTGGAGGCAAGGATTCTGAG